CTTAACTTTGACAACCCAAGTTTTTAAGACCCTGTTGTGCATCTCCATTTCATTGGAATTTTGCCGATGGCTAATGATCCTGACTATTAAGGAGATGTCCTTCTTCTTACTATGTCCTATAGATTGACCCTAGAGGCTTCTAACTGAGCTACATGCTCAGCTCTGCTTGTATATTTATTTTAAGTCAGCATCTCACCAAGTCCGAAGTGGCTCATCTGGGTCTGAACTTGTGATTCTCCTGCCTTTGCCTCTCAGGCTTTTACTGTTAAGTGCACACAGCGGTGTTACTGCAGGCAGACTGCCCTTGGCGCAGGAAGCAGCAGGCCCTGCAGTCCTGGGTGTGAGGCAGTAGTCCCGGGCTGACTCAGACAGAGCAGAAAAGTGCTCAGCTTTGATGGGGAAGGAGGGGACTCAGTGTCCCGGTGTCAGGGTGTCAGGAGGGGGCGCTTTACCTGAGTCCACCCTCTTCTCCCTCAGGCTCTTCCTGACCCAAGGCTCATTCCCACTTTAAGCCTCCAGACCTCAGGGTGTGGTTGTTGCTCTGCTCCCGAAGGTCACTTAGTTGTACTCGTGCGGTTTGTCCTGTACCACTCAGAATTTTCCCCGTATCATCTCAGAAAGCCCATCCTTTGGCTTTACAGCTGGGCAGACCACTCCCCTCCTCATTGGCTTGATGTTAACAATCCTGTTCCTCTGGCCTCTGGGTTTTTGGTATCTCTGCTGAGAGCAAGGGCTTGGAAGGCTGTGTTGACTTTTTAGCATCTTGTCTCCTGGTGTGTGTTAATTTTATAGCCTTGAGGGTTGGTTTGCTTTTCTTTTTCTTTCACTTTCTTAGACTGGGGATTGAACCCAGAGCCTTTGCACTGAACTACATGCCCAGCCCCTTAAAGGTGTTTCTCTGTGGATACAAGGTCTCCTGAAATCCCTAAATTGCCCAGGGTTAGGCCTGAACTTGGGGTCCTCCTGCCTCAGCCTCCCAGAGTGCTGATAGGAGGCATAGTCCATAGTGCTGTTTGGCGTCCCTGTGCATGCATCCATGCCCAGAGAGCAGGGCTGACAGAGCAGGCTGGGCAGGAGAGGAAGCTTTGGGGTGGACCTGTGCCAGTCAGAGCCAGGGGTGCTCCTGAGGTCTTTTCTGCAAGCACACAGGTGGTGAGGCGGCCCCCGGGCCTGAGCCAGGGAACCCTACCTGCCTGGGATGCGCCCTGAAGAAAATGAGGCTGGGCCTGGAGACGGGGGAGCCGGGAGCACAAGCGAGCACCGCGCCCCTCCCCTAGGGGGCGCAGTCGCCTCCGCACAGAGCCCTCTTCCCGCCTCCTCCAAACCCAGGAGAGCGCGGCCGCCACAAGGGGGCGACACGGGTCCTCGAGGTGCCATGGCGTCCCGGAACGCTGGCCCGCTGCGCCTGCTCCTCTGGCTGCTGCTGCTGAGGCCTCAGCTGGTCGCGGTCCCCGAGGACGGCGCGACTCCCCGCCTCCCGCGTGACCCGTTCCCCCCTAAGGCAGCGACGCCCGCGCCCACGGCGACCGCGAAACCGCCGGTCCTTCCCAAAGGTGAGCTCCCTGCCCTGCTCCTGAGGGAGATGTGGTGGCGCATTTTCTCAGGGAGGCTGGGCGGCGGGCGCAACGCTGAGGTCTGGGGTGTGCGCGGGAGGCGGGCGGTGTTAGGGACACAGAGGTGCGCTGGGCCCGTAAGAAGAGAGGACGCGCCTCAGCCCCCGCGCCCTGTCCCTTCACTCACTTGCCGCAGCCTGTGGTCAGAGGAAGATAATCGGAGGAGTGCCAGCGGCAGAGCGGAGGTGGCCCTGGCAGGTCAGCCTGCAGGCCCAGGGCGCACATGTTTGCGGGGGCACCCTAATCAGCAGCCGGTGGGTGATGACCGCAGCACACTGCATATTAGAGTAAGTGTTTGGGGACCTGCTTGAACCCTTGTGTCAGCAGGAGCTCGTCCCGGAGGGTCCTCTTCCTCATCAGCTAGATTCGGTGCCAGCCCCAGCTGGGTTGAGCCCTGAGGGTTTACATTCCTATGTTCCCAGGGGAACCACCAGCCACAGTGTGGGGGCCCAGGAGAGGAGGAGGCTGGGAGGGCAGAGGACCAGGGGTGCAGGTTGGTAGCACCTTAAGTGGTGGCAGGGGAGGTGTGTAGACCTCAGGCTCCCTCTGCAGCACTCTGGACTACACAGTGAAGCTTGGAGACACAGATCTGAAGCATGAGGCCCCAACGGCTGTTGTGGTCCCGGTCAGAGACATCGTTATCCATCAAAAATTCACCCGCATTGGAGGACTCTTCAGAGACATCGCCCTGGTGCTGCTGTCCTTCCCTGTGAATTACTCCACGCACATCCAGCCCGTGTGCCTCCCTACCACATCCTTCCGGTTAGAAGCTGATACTCCATGCTGGGTGACTGGATGGGGAAAAACACGTGAAGACGGTGAGACAGGAAGGCAGGTGGGGGTAAGAGGGAGGAGGCTACCCAGTGGCCTGGGCGCGGTCCCCAAACTAAGGGGAGGCAGGTGTTCTAGTAGGGTGCGGGGAGCAACTGAACAACTGTATGGGAGTTTGGATTGGTTTCCCAGACCTGGGGATCCGAGTCCCAATTTGGTGGGATGCGTGCAGGGTGAGTTTAGCTCAGGGGGATGAGCTGTCACCAGGTGAGGCTGTCCCTCCCTGAAAGCACTGCCTTAGTAGACAGGGCACTTCCTGTTTGTCAGAAGAGGCCAGACAACTCTCAGTGGTACTCTTGGGATCTTCTCTTCATTTGGTCCCTTTGGAGCACCACGTGGCTGTGGGTCTGTGACCCTGCTTTGGACAGTAAAGACACTGCCCTGATAGTCAGGACACCGTGTCACCCCTACTTATGGTACTTGGTGACATATGCTTGGTCCTTATTTCCAAACTGGCCAACTTTGCTTCCCTCCCCTGGTCTGCTCTTATTTCTGCTGTCTTGATTTAGAGCTTACTACCCTCCTAGATGCAGCTCAGGCTGGGGACTCACTTCCTCCAGGGTCAGATGGGGACAGTAACCAATGGGAAGAGGATCCCTTTGTGGGCAGACACTGTACTGAGACCCAGAGCAGGTCGTGCAGCCGCTCTCCTCCCATCAAAGTTACACAAATCTGGACATCCCTAAATTCTCTTTCTATAGACAAGCCAAATAACCAACCGACTCATCTTCAGGAGGCTGAGCTGAACATAGTTGAATATCGCAATTGTAATAAGATCCTCAAGAAAGAGCTGAAGATGCTCATGAACCCTGTCAGGAAAGGGGGCATTTGTGCTTATGCTGAAGGAAAAGACTCCTGCCAGGTCAGTGCAGGGGCCCCTTGGTGAACTGCACCACAGTTGTCCCCTCAAAGTCCATGTTTGTTGGCAGTAGGGTCTGGCTTATCCGCAGCCATTCCATTTTCCCATATTCAGGTGAATGGGATGTGAGGACAAGTGCCTATGGCTCTCCTGGGATAGCCTGGGTCCATGGCCCCCAGGAGGTGGCCCCATGCACTGGGCCAGCAGATGCCCTGTGCAGGGAGGTGGTGGATATCAGTGGGGAGGAGCTCAGGCTCCTGTTTAGAGCCTCTTCCTTGGCACACGTAGTGCACTTGGATGAGCAGTTCAGTTGTTGTCGTCCCATTACCTTGGGTCCATTACCTTGGTTGTTGTTCAGTTCTTTGGGAAACAAAACTTTTGAATAGGGAGACGATTTTTATTTGAATAAGGTTCCCTTTGGACATCTCCTCATAGTCACAGAGCCCCCCAGTGGCAGGAGTCTGGGGAAACCCCATGTGTGCCTGATGCCGTGCTCTGCAGGCCACTCAGGCTGTTCTGACACCTATTCCATTCATGTCATTCCTTTCTCTTTCTTTCTCCAGGGAGACTCTGGGGGCCCTCTTGTCTGTGAATTCAACAATACATGGGTGCAGATGGGCATTGTAAGCTGGGGCATTGGCTGTGCCCGCAAAGGAATTCCAGGAGTCTATTCAGATGTCAGGTTCTACAAGGACTGGATTGTGCAAGTAGTGAGTCGGTCTACACGCTGGGACATGGCAGGCCTCCTCATGCCACACCTGTGTCTGCTGCTGCACCTGGCATGGTGGTGACCCTGTGGTCACCCTGCCTGTTCCCCCTGGTTCTGAGTCTCCCCCTAGCGCTTTTCTCTTACCCTCTTCCCTTCCAGTGCCCTGTGTTCATGTTCCAGTTTGACCCATCACCCCTGGAAACCCCACAGTGGAGCTGAGCAAGTCAACTGGGCCTGCAAAGGGCCCTCGCCCTAAGTACTGGTCACTGCTTCTACCACACATACACTAGGCTGTGCTGTGCCTGAGCGAAGTGGGGTGAGGCCAGGTCAGAGGCCCAGCATCTCGCCAAGGAGCATCTCCCCTTTTAAGCTCTCCACAAGAACATCCAAACACAGACATCCCCAGTCATGGAGTGAGCCCTAGACCTGGCCCTGGTGTCAGGCTGTGCCCTGAGCCTCTGTGAGGTCAACCAACCGGGTGACTGGTGCGAGTGAGAAGCAGGTGTCACCAGGTCCCTGCACAGGTGCCAGGCTGGGACTCCACATGGTGTCTGGGCTGGAAGAAGTCCCCTGTGTCTTGGCGTGGGCCCGTTTATCTGGGGACAGCCTTAGGCACACTCCTGTATTGCTGCTTGCATCCAGGAGCAGCCCACATTTTGCTGAGGCTGTTTAAGCATGTGGGAATTTCACAGGGTACTGTATAAATGTTTGGACAATGTTGTGTGTCTGCATTTCTGCTCCCCTTCACGGTGAGTGCGCAGAATGTGCTCTGTGCAGGACTACTTTCCCCTTTCGCTAAGGAAGCTACCATGTCCTTATTCACCCCTGGAAGATGAGAGGAGACTGTGTCCACTCAGACAGGAGTCCAGGGGTACGTTGGGTTGGGTCAGTGTTCTTGCTCCCTATGTTCCTGGCTTAGTTAGCAACTCCCATGCAGGGGCTCTGTATTTGAGTTGAACACCTGCTTTTAGCAAGGAGATTAGGAGAGGAGCTGGGTGTAGGCATGAAGCTGGGGTGTGTGAAATACTCTTCTCCTTTTCGTGCAGCTCACTGTGTTTCTAAAGCTCAGTGATCACACGGGGCGTAGGGTGACAGCCATTCACTAGATTATACGCAGGCTTCCTCCCTCATACAGGCCACAGATCTGCAAGTGTTCCTGTGATGGACCTCTCCCAATATCCTGCCCCTGATCCTTGGGGGGGGTGTCAGTATTTCACCTTGGCATCAGTGGGCTTCCATGTGTCAGTTCAGTCTGCTGCCCAGGGAGGTAGGGCTGAAAGTTGCCATCAAACTGGGTCTCTTACTATAGTACCCACTGCTTTAGGAAAGCTTTAGCTAGAACCAAAAAAGAAAAAGAGGTAAAGTCCAACTAGGGCTGGGGATTTAGCTCAGTGGCACAGCGCCTGCCTGGCAAATGCAAGGTCCTGAGTTCTATTCCTGGTACCAGAAAAAAACCAAAAAAACCACCACCACCACCACCACCAACAACAACAACAACAAAAAAAAAAAGGAAAGCTCTAGCTAGTTGTGGCAAAACCTGTTTAATTTCTTTTTCCTGGGACATCTATTTGCTAGAGTAGTCAGGGGCCCTGGTTAGCAGGGGAAGGGCAGAGAATAAGGAGAGGGAAGAGAGGAGGGTAGCAGAAGAGGGGAGGAGAAGAGGGGAGGGGCAAGGAGAGGGTAGAGGGAAGAGGAGGGGAAGAGAGACAGGAAGGAAGTGGGTACAGGAAGGGAGGGAAAAGGAGAGGAGAGGTAATGAAGGAACAGAAGAATACAGGAGGGGGAAAAAAAAAGGAGTCTGGGGCTGGGGATTTAGCTCAGCAGCACAGCGCCTGCCTGGCAAGCGCGAGGTCGTGAGCTCGATTCTCAGTACCGGAAACCGGCCCCCCCCCTCCCCCCGCCCCGCAAAAAAGACAAGAGAGGGAAAGGAGACAGAGGGGATGGGATTAGGCGAGGGCAGGGGGAGAAAGAACAGGCAGAGGGAAAGAGGGGAGGAGGGGGGGGAGGAGGGAGGGAACTGGTACAGCGCTCGGCGGGTGACTCCAGGTCCACCCTGCGCAGGAGGTGCAGCATGCAGTTCACGATGTTTCACTTAAGAATACTGATTCTACCTTGACGGTTTCCATCTCACAGGTAGGGGTAGGCCTGAGAATGTGTCTTTCTAACAAGTTCTCTGGTGCTGGCCTGGGAACCTTAACTTCAGGACTAATGCCCGGCATTCCCAGGAGTGGAAAGGACTCCTTTTCTTGACTGCTGTGCCTTGTTCTTATGTGGGTCACTTAGATGGCAGGCTGGGGGGTGGTCCTCAGAGTCCAGCAGGGATGGACTGCACTACGCAAGAGAAATAGGCATCTTGATCTTTTCCCCATCTCTGTCATGTCCCGAAGATTCAAACACACACCCCGGCATGGCCACCAGCAAAGGGAACAAATGCCTTTCTCGTCCCAGGTCTACCCCAGGATGCCTTGGCTAGTTTTAGGCTCCGCTCAAGGAAGCATCTTTCATGGTTTCAACCCAGGTCCTGCGGTTACCTCACACACTGGGGCGCCCTGAGGTGCTTTCGCATGGCCACGTACCCAGGGAGCAACCACAGAGCCAGGCAGCCAAGGTCTCCGAGGTCCAAGCTGAGGATGGATGCGTGGAGTTGCCTATGCGCAGGCGCATGACTAGGCATGAATCAAACGGCTCAGACATGCGGCAAAGGGTTCCAGCGTGCGTCGCATGCCCGGTGTGCATTGCGTGCCCAGCGTGCGTCAAGTGCCCGGCATGCATTGCATGCCCAGCGTGCGTCACGCCCAGCGTGTGTCACGTGCTCAGCGTGCGTAGCGTGGCGGGCGTGCATTGCGTGTCTAGCGTGCGTCCTGTGCTCGGGGTGCGTCGCGTGCCCGGCGTGCATTGCGTGCCCAGCGTGCGTCACGTGCCCGGCATGTATTGCATGCCCAGCGTGCGTCGCGCCCAGCGTGCGTTGCGTGCTCAGCGTGCGTAGCGTGGCCGGCGTGCATTGCGTGTCCAGCGTGCGTCCTGTGCTCGGGGTGCGTCGCGTGCCCGGCGTGCATTGCGTGCCCAGCGTGCGTCGCGTGCTCAGCGTGCGTCGCGTGCTCAGCGTGCGTCGCGTGCCCGGCGTGTGTTGCGTGCTCAGCGCTGAGAGGCTGTGAGGGGCTGAGGAAACCTGAGGTGCTGAGTTGCCCCGGGCGGTCAGCCTCATGTCTGTTTCGTGGGGCGGCCAGGGCGCAGGTCCCTTGAGGCCCTGGGTCCTGAGCTGTCGCCTGCTTCTGCTGGTGTTGTGGCTGCCGCTGAGCTGGGGTGAGGCTGGCCCCTCGCCCTTCTCCTGCGGTCCCTTCCCACCCCGGGCCTGTCCTGGGTGGCCTCTCTTCCCACCATCCCCGTCCGCCATCACCGTCACCATCCTCAGCCCCGTCCCAGGCGCTGTCCAGAGCGACTGTGCACTGCGGAGCGTCCTGTCGCCCCCCCGCCGGTCCGGACCCCTTGCAGCACCCCCTTGGGCTGCGTTCAGCGCGGCGCGGTCTCTCCCATCCCCTCAGAGATAATTGGCCAGAATCCATCTTCCTCTCGGATTTACCGCCAGCACAGTTGCCTTACGGCGGGCCGGGTCTTGTTTCCCTTAGAACACAGGCTCTCAGAGGCTGGGTCCTTTGACTGTCCCTTCCTACAGGTCCCTCCAAAAGGACCAGGCTGGCCATGGTCACCTCCTGCGCAGGGTGGACCTGGAGTCACCCGCCGCCGCCGAGTGCTGTAACCCTTCCCTCCCTCCTTCTCCTCCCTCCCCTGCCCTCCCCCCTGCCCTCTCCTCCTATCCCCTCCCTCTCCTTTCCCCCTCCTGTCTTCTTCCATTCCTTCATTACCTCTCCTCTCCCTCCCATCCTCTACCCTTTTCCCTCCTGTCTTCCTCTCCTTCCCCCTCCTCTTTTCCCTGCCCCTCCCCCTCCCGTCTTCTGCTTCCCTCCCCTTATTCTCGACCCTTCCCCTGGTCCTCTCTGCTTTCCCAGTCCTCTCCCTTCCGCTTCCCGTTTCTCTCTCCTTTCCTTCTTCCTCTTCCCCCTTTGTCTCCTTATCCACAGTCTGTGTTCTTTCCCCTCCCCGTCTTCATTCTGTCCTTTCCTCTCCCTCCTTCCCACTTCTCCCTCTTCCTCTTGTTTTCTTGCCCTATCAGTACCCTCTTCACAGCCAGACTTCTCAAAAGGATCATTACTTTGTGTCCATTCCCTCTTAATCCTTGGGCCACTCCTGGCATGTCTTTATCCTTATTGGTCCTGTCTGTGGCCATACCACCCTGAATGCACCTGATCTTGTCTTACTGACTTTTCTACTTCTCTCTCCCTTTTTATCTTCTGTTGCTTCCTGATCTTCTCTGCTACTGGGGAACCTCCTTTTCTTTTCTTTTCGTCTTTTTGAGACAGGGTCTCACTATGCAGTTCAGGTTGGCCTTGAACTCACTTTGTAGCCCAGGCTGGCCTCAAACTCGCAAGGATCCTCCTGCCTTAGTCTCCCGAGTGCTGGGATCACAGGCGTGCACCACCATGCCCGGCTGGGAACCTCCTTTTCTGTTCCACCCAGGCCACCCAAATTGTGTTGTTGCTGACATACGCATGTTCTCTGAACTACTGGTTGGGCCCTGCTGCTTCCCTGTTCATAGCTCCCTAGGGGAACTCACTGCCCTGAGCATTGGGGTGCCATTTATGTGGGTACCTCAGAACATAACAGGCCTGGATGTGCAGGCACCTGCTAGATGTCCCCATTTCAGACATCATCTTTCTGCAAAACAACTTCTCTTACTCTTGTCGAACTCAGTAGGTGGCAGCTATTCTTATATATACCCTGAAACTAGTATCACACTGGTCTGCTTGTGTCCCTACATCCCACCTACAGCTCTCCTCTGTCCTGAGTAAACTACTTCCTCATTCTGACCTTCTCGTTTCTTACCTGGGCTCTGGAGAGCCTCTGGTGGACCTCTTGTCACCTTCCTGCCTGTTCTCTGCTGCCTGACCCTGTCTCATCTCTTTTGGCCTCCCAGTAGGTTGAGATCTCCCTGTTTCTTGGACTGGCTTATGGGGCCCTTCATGGTTGACACTGCACTCCCCTACCCTGCCATTGTCTGTCACTATCATGGGCCTTGCTTTTGTCCCCTAGAGTCTCCAGCGTACACCGCAATTGTTTCTTCTATAAGGAACATCTTGTTGTCTTTTTTTTTTTTTTTTTTTTTTTTTTTTTTTTTTAGTACTGGGTGTTGAACTCAGGACCTTCACACAGAGCTACATCCCCAACCCCTTTTTTAATTCTTTATTTTGAAACAGAGTCTCACTAAATTGACAAGGCTGATCTTGAACTTGCAATCTTCCTGTGTCAGCCTCCGACACTACTGGGATTGCAGGTGCACACCACCTTGCCCAACTCTCATTTTTCATTTATGTTTTACCTTCTCATCTTTAAGACCTGGCCCTGTAACTCTTCCTCTCACAGGTCTCTTCTGCCCACCCTCTCTTTCTCCTGGGCTTGCCTGTCATTGGTGACCCTGTCATTGTACTGACCTCACCCATATGATTATGTGTTTATGTCTGTCACCCCTCACTGGGCCGTGTGTCTTCCTAGCCTTTAGCTCCAGGCTGGGGTGAGCATGGGAGATTAGGAAATATTTGGTGAATGAATGAATGAGCTATTGGTGAAAAATGCACTCTTCGCTACCATTCTGTCATAAGTTCTTGCTTTTTCATTGTCTCTATTTTGTCCTCCAGGTCACAAAGAGAACAAAACCATACCAGGTAGGTGCATGGACCCTGCTGTAGGCTTATGAGAGGACGACAGCATTTCTTGGTGGGTCTGTTCCAGCAGGTCTGGTTTGTGAAGAACAGCCTGTAGCTTCCAGGGATGTAGAGGCAGGAGGATCCAGCCTCCAGTGGGGACTCACAGCCCCTGGAACTCAGCCTAGGCCAAAGCTTATGAGGGGATGTGTCCAGGAGCCTGATGCAGACCCTTCCTTCCATCTTTCTGTGTTCTAAGTGTTGTGTTGCAGATGGAGCCCTGAGTTCTGGGGCCCCATCTGCAGATCCTGGCTCTTGGATTTCCTATCTTTTTTCTTCAGGATCAGAGTTGGAGGGTTGGGCTGCTCCTGTCCTTGATTCTTGGGCTTACTTTATCCTGGGTCCTTCAAGGGCTCCATCCTAATTCAGTGCTAATTGTTTAGTTTTATGCTTTATGGTCTGTGTTGAAGAGTCCTTAAGGAGCTTTGTTTAAGGAGTCCTTTCCCACATGTGTCACATTGGTCTGCTAACTTTATAGTTTTATCTTTCAAATTTAGATCTTCAAGTACTTTTAGCAAGGAATCTGGTTTTGCTTTCCTTAGTTCTCTCATAGCCAGTTTCCCAAGTCTGTTCAACAGATCTTTACTCAATGATTTTGGGGACTCTTATTTACATCAAGGTCCTATATTACATATACTCATCTAGCTCTTTGACCTTGTGTCAGTGTTGTGCTGTTTTGGTATTATGGCCTTCATTTGTGTGTGAATGTCTGCACTACACAAGGGGCTCTTTTTTTGCTGTACTTTTTCAAAGACTGAGTTCCTCAGGGCTGGGGATATAGCTCAGAGGCATGAGCGCCTGCCTGGTGAGCACAAAGTCCTGAGTTCGATTTCTGGTACAAAAAAAAAAAAAAAAGACTGAGTTCCTCATACACTTTGTTTTTCTATGTCAGTTTTTAGGTAAGTTTATCAATACTTAAAACTTCTAACATTGAAAAATGAGTTTATAGATGAATTCTGGGAAGCAAATTGCACCTATACTATTGAGTCGTTTTATTTAAGAGTAAGGATTGTAGGGGCTGGGGATTTAGCTCAGCAGCACAGCGCCTGCCTGGCAAGCGCAAGGTCGTGAGTTCGATTCTCGGTACTGGAAAAAAACAAAACCAAAAAAGAGTAAGGATTGTCTCTTCACCTGTGTTATTTCCTGTGTCCTTCATCAGAATTTTAAATTGATTTTGTGTAGTATTAGGTTATTTCTATGTACTTTATAATTTTTTGTTTCTAAAGTGTCACCTGAGTGTATTTTCTAGTTGGTTGTGATGGGACAGAGAAATATTAGTGATTTTAAAAGTAAATTGTTTCATTGAAGTATGCTATTCATACAGCATACACAAACTGTGAGTGTCTAGCTCCCAGGAATTGTCACACAGTGGGCACATTTGTCTCCCACACTGGGGTTAAATGCAGTATTCTTATCCTGGCTTTTGACAGATTATTTTTGTTCTTTAATGTTATACAATATTTTCTATAGGCATATGACCTATAACTTTTTTAAAGTTAAGGATTTCCATCCTCTTTCAGTTTGGTAAGTAAAGTCATAAATATGTGTTGAATTTTTCAGATACCTTATTCTGTGTCTGTTGAGAAGAGCATGTGCTCTTTGTACATCTCAATTGCTAGAACTGTTGGGAGAATGCCTGGGAGCTCTCACAGTGTGGGGCCACCCCTGTACTCCCGGCTAGGTCCCCACGTGAATGTGATGTGTTGTTTTCAAGAGTATGATATTGGCTTATATTTCATTTATAATTTCTGTGTCTGTGTTCATTCATACATTCTTGCAACCATCCACCTTGACTGATAGATGATGTGCAAAGCTGATAGTGATGTGATAGTGTGTGACCCTTGAGCACACGTATGCAGAGGCTCTTGTGGACCCTGCTGCCACAGGCTGCAGATGTTCACTGTAAAGACTGCCAGAATGGAAGTCAGGAGCTTTTCTTGACTCAGAGCAGTGTGGGGACATTTCGCATGAAAGAGGCAGCACATGCACTGTATCTTTTCAGAAGCAAGGTGCAGATGTAGGACATGTGCATTCTGGTCTTGGGACTTCTCTGCTTCCCCCTTCTTAGAGGTCCTGTGCTGATGCTCACTGTGATTCTCAGCACCTGTCTCCTGTCTTGATGCTTTTTCTCTGTCATTGTTACTTTCTACCTGTAGCCACTGCCCTCTCAGAGCATCCTTAGTCTACCCTCTCTCTAAAATGGGACAAGCCCCTCTTTTTATAGCTCTGTGCAGCTTGGCCCTGGAGGGCACCTTGCTCCCAATTATTCTCATCGCTTTTGGTGGCCCCTCTGTCCCTCTGGTGTACTTGTTCATGAAGTCTGTAGTGAGCCCTGGTGGTCAACGGAGCTGAACGTGACCCGCCGCCACTGGCCCTGGGAGGTGAGCCTCCAGACAGAGCATGAGCACGTGTGTGGAGGGGCCCTCATTGCCTCTGTCTGGGTGGTGACTGCTGCCCACTGCATCCAGAGGTGAGTATGGCCATGTATCCAAGGCCTGGGGACCCAGAGCTCTAATGGGTCCTGCCAGGCTCTTTCATTTCTCTGTGAACCTGGGAGGAGGGATGGGGAAGAGTGGGCGGAAGAGTTGTGCTTGATGTCACAGGAGGCAGGGGCTGAGCTGGGGCAGGAGGCCTAAGCAGCAAAGCTGGGGCAGCAGGAAAACCAGAGCACCTGCCCACCTCCCCAAAGCGATGATGTGCACGAAGACTCACACACCTGCAACAGCAGATAGACAAGGCCTCTTTGAATCTGCCTGGAGGAGACAGTCAGCCTTAGGACCTTGTGGGCCCCAGGGAAGATGAGGGAAACTGGGTGGGCAGAGCAGAATGGGCACGACTTCTGATTCGGGAGACCAGGTCCTTGGGAGAGGCAAGTGTGTGCTTGTATGGGAAGCTGATGTCTACCAGGGGGCTTTGTGTTTCCTACAGCAACAAAGAGTACTCAGTGGTGCTTGGCACCTCCAGGCTGCAGCCCTCGAACCCCAGCAGGAGCTTCTTGGTCCCCGTGAAGGACATCATTATGCACCCTAAGTACTGGGGCCGAACCTTCGTAGTGGGTGACATTGCCCTTCTCCGTCTTCCTGCTCCCATCATCTTCAGCAAGTACGTGCAGCCCATCTGCCTCCCGGAACCCACCTTCAGCCTGGAAGTGGGAACGCAGTGCTGGGTGACTGGCTGGGGCCAGGCCAAGCTTCGCTTCTCAGGTGAGGTGTAGGACAGAGGGCCCTTCTTCCCTGCAAGGCCTTTCCTGCTGGCCTCCTCATGGTGCCACTCAGGAAGGCTGTGGCTGTCACCCCTGCCCCCTGGGTTATTTGAGTGTCTTAGGACCATTCTTCATGTGTGACCATTGCCATTGGGACACAGGCACCAAGCTTGGCACAATCATCTGCTTCTTAGAGTAACTCAGAGACAGGAATTCCTAAGTTCACTCCCTCCCTTGTTCGCTCACTTGACACACTTTGAGCACGCGGAGCCCTTGGCACTGGAAAGACCTACCCTTCTGCGATGGAAGGGTGGTCGCAATGAGGGGAGAGGTGGGGCACAAGCTAACAAGGAAAGCACAGAGAACTTGTCAGATCTTAGCATCAAGTTGGGAGGGCTCTAGGATGAGCCTGGGCAGAGTGACAGCCTAAGCTGCGAGGGAGGGCACGAATGTTAATTGGGGGCAGAGGGAATGGCCACTACAAACCAGGTTCACCCTGGAGAGAAGCAGCACATGGCGGGCCCACACACGGAAGTCCTCCCTTATAAGTGGCTGCATTGGAATTTGATGCTGGTCTGCTTGGTTCAGCGCAAAAGCTTTCCAGAGAAGAGGATCCCAAATAAAGCCTTAGAGGGGGAGGGGCTTAGCAGACCAGGTCTACCCTGCAGGGGCAGGGGGGACCAGGTAAAGGAAGGCCCAGGCATGTGACACAGTTTGATGTGGCTACATTTTTAAGTGACAGGACCCTAGGCAGAAGTTGGGGTGTCATTGCTTACCCTGTTAAGCTCTTCCACAGCCAACTCCGTCCTGAGCCCAGAGCTGCAGGAGGCCGAGGTGTTTATCATGGACAACAATCGGTGTGACCGGATTTACCGCAAGCAGTCCCTCTTACCCCGAGTTGCCCACCTCATCCAGGGAAACATGATTTGTGCTACCAATTATGGAGAAAACTTGTGCAATGTGAGTTGCAGGGATTCTGGCAGCTTTTCTGCAGGGAAGAACTTCAGCGTGGGGGCCAGTTCTGAGCAGGCTTTTTATGGTCTCCCTCCCCCTTACCATCACTTGACTCTGCTCTCATCTTCCTTCCTTGGTGAGTTTGACTTTGGCTGTTACTCTGGGCAGAGTCCCCAGTGAGGAGCCAAAGAAGGCCCCACTGAGGAGACTCTTGAAGTGTGAATCTTGTAAGCAGAACTCCAGGGTGGAGATCTGGGTTCCTAGGGGCCCAGCAGAACCCCCTCACTCCTCTTTCTTTGTCTAGGGGGACTCTGGTGGACCATTGGTCTGTGAAGTCCAGGGAAAATGGATTCTGGCGGGGGTGTTGTCCTGGGAGAAGGCTTGCGCCAAAGCAGAAAATCCGGGTGTGTTCGCCCGCATCACCAAGTATGCCCAGTGGATCAAGAAGCAGATGAACAATGACGTGCTCTCAGCTCCCAGCTGTGCCTTCTCCTGGCTCCTGTTCCCATTCTGGCTGCTTCTCCCCACCTTACCCTTCATGTTTTGCCTCTGCTGAATGGCCCCCATGGAGGTTTGACCAGGGTCATGTGTTCAATCTCAGCAAGAATCGGGCTGGGGAAGAAGTGGCCCCAGGAGACCGGGTCATACTTTGGCATCCCAGCAAGAACAGGTGTGGTGGATGACTAGGCCTTGGATGACCAGAAGAAAGGGAGAATGAGTCAGGGGGTTCTGGAATCTGGGACCAGAATAGCAGAGATTAAATTTGTGTGAATAGGAGCTGGCTGTTTTTGTTTTTTGGTTTTTTAATCTCTGGAGTGGCCCTCAGGGATGGAGGGGGGAATTAACTGTGCCAGGAGGCTCCACAGGGTTGGGGGTGTGATGTTCTTTGCTTTTTCTCTAGTGCTGGGGTATAAGAAAGGGGTCTGGGTTTCTTCATCTGTAAAGTGAGAGTCCTGTAGAGGAGCAGTCAAAAAATGCTGTGCAGGCGGACAATAGGAACAGTCCACAGAGAGTGCTGCCATCGCAGTTGCTTGCTCGCCCTCTCTTTGTCTCTCTTTCTTTTCTTTAAATTGATTATAAAAGAATTGTATGCTCATTTTAAAAAGCTAGGAAACAGTAAAGCCTAAAGAAAGGAGATACCCACTGGAGTCCCAGTACATAGAGGTGCCCACTCTTCATTTCAGTGAATTTCCTTTTACACTTTCATTCTTAAAAAATAAAAGATTACATGTAATATCTCAATACATTCTTGTGGTTTACTAAAAAATAACCAGAAATGTGTATGCAGATCCCCCCATCTGCCCCCACCACCAATCCTGCGACCCTCCCTGGAAGTAATCATAATATCCTTAAAAATCTATGATTTTAAAAATAAATGACACCTTTTACATGTATTATTAATAACCCATTTTTCAAAAAAGCATATTATTTGCAAGCCTGTCTAATTCGGCATTATGTTATGTATCGTGTGGTTTAGCCAGCACTGATTTTTGGGTGGCTTCTGACTTTCGACCTCGCAGCAGCATTACATGAACACACTCCTAAGTATGTGGAGATTGTTTCACAGTTCTGCATGAATTCTGTCATATTCAGCCCTCCCTTCCATGGAACTAGTTGATCACTCAGTAAATAATAATAAATTTTTCTGTTTTTGCTAAAAATATTTCTGCTAAAAATTTTTCTGCTTTTGCTAAAATAGAATTTCCATTTGAAATTTCTTTGTGTGGCGTGAAGTAGGAATTAGTTATTAACAACTGGAGAACCAGTTTTGTTGACATAATCCTTTTATTTTTCCATTGATCTGACTGTCCCTGGATTAGTGCTGAACTCTTTCAATCACCTTTATTATGTTTTCTTAAATAGTAGCAAAAACTCTTCTCTTTTGAAGAAAATATTTAGTGTCTTCTATATAAATTTTGGAATCAGTTCATCAAATTCCATTAAAAATACTATTGGCATTTGATTGGAATTAAATAGCCAGAATAATCTTGAGAGAACTAATATTTCTATAGTGTTGAAGTTCTACCCAGGGATGTGGTATGTTTCTCCATAAGGTCAGCAATTCTGTCTTTTCAGTGGTTTTACAGTCTTGTTCATGGATGTGATGTCTGGAAAAATATTAAGCTTATTTCTAAGTAATTTGCAAATTTTGGTTACATTGTGAATGACATCTTTTCTCATTACATTTTTGCTAATTCTAAATCTTAACCTTTTGTAAAGCTGTTTGATAGATTTTTTTTTTCTAGAATAATTGTGATTTTGGCTGTCTTCCAAAGCTCTTTTTTGTGTTGTTATTTTCCATGTTGTGCTGGTGATCAGATTTAGGTCTCATACATACTAAGTAGATACTGTACCTATGAGCTATATTCTCAGCCCCTAAGACTATCTTTTCAATTCAGTAATTTTTTAGTTGATTCTCCTGGCTTTGAGTAATCAAAATCCCCAAAATGGTGAAAGCTTCAGCTTGTGCTTTCAGATCAGTGCTGCTGTGAGCCAGACATGGGCCGTGGTCGCAAGCTCAGAGCTAGGCATCAGGAACACAGTCCTGGGCTAGGCATCGCCTCTGAGCCCTGGCAGGACCTCACCACGACCACTCGCTGCTCCCTCAGACCTACAGTCACAGCTGGAGGAGCCCCCAACCTGGGCAGAGGGTGAGCCAGCCTGGAGTTCTAAATCCTGGCACAATGGAGGTGCTTGCCTGCCCTGCCTGTGTTGCCCATGCTGCACTGTTGTCTGTTGGAGTGACATCTATTCACCATGGCATGTGGGTCAGGCCCACACACCCCTGCTGCCTTCTGCTAGGCTCGGGAATCAGCCCTACAGGGACGGTAGGTCCTCTGGACATGGGCAGAAGTGGAGGGCCCATGTCTCAGGGCCCACGCCTGGGGGCCTGTGTCAGTGGTCCTCACACCTGACAGCCTGCACCATCCCTGTTCTGATAGAGGGATGGGTATGGGTAGTGACTTACAGAGAGACCCATGTAACCCTTACAATGCATATAATGTTGGGACAGTTCTAGTTTTCAGGGTGACCATGAACACATGGGTGAACAAACTGACTGTGGAATTAGATAGGTGGATTTGGGAGGAGCAGTGCCTGTGACAGTGTCAGCATGGACACTGAAGCACCAGTCAGGCATGGGTCACATGGTGGTGGGGACATCATTCCACAGTGGGAAATCCCTACCCCCAGAGCTTAGTGGCTCATGAGAGGAGCTGGGAGTCAATGCCAGCTGTCAGTAGACCTTATGAATTAAAAGTTTAGGACTGCAAGGAGTAGGACCTCTGGGCTCCAGCTGGATTCAACCACCTGCCACTGGTGCTTTTATAGTAGCAGCCCTGCCTCAGTTGACCTGCCAGCTGCCCTTTCTGTGGTTGGCAGAGAATTAGCTGTGGTGGTTGATGTGAGTGGGGATTTTGTAGTTTTCTGTCACTGTGTGACAGCTCCTGAACAAGTGACTGAGTTAGTGAGTAAAGGAATGAAAGAATGAATGAATGGACAGGCTCTGGCTCTGAGCTGGGTGGATCCGAGCTCAGATGTATGTGATGTCCCTGGTGGGGAGGATTATGAGGCTCCTTGTGGCTGATGCCTGAGCCTCTGCTGGTGTGGGCTGTGACCTTATGGGGACTCCATCCCAAGGCCAGTAGGAGTCTTCTGGAGGCCACATGTGAGTGTGGGAAAGTCGTAAGTGGCAGTGCTCTGACCTGGAACACTGAGAAAGGATGGAGGCCAAGGTCTGTAGTGGAACTCACTTGAGCGGCTGAGGGTCTGCCATATATGGAATGGTGACAAGGGATAAGGTTGATCTGTGACACCTTGCACCCCCAAATAAGCAAGTGTGACCCCCCAGAAATATCTACCGGCCAGATCCCGCAAATCCTGTGTAAAGCTTTGGGGAAGGAGGTTGAGTCACTGCTGTCCTGGACTCAAATTCTGAGGAGCCCGTTGTGTGAGATCTACAGAAGGAAAACTCTGGTTGGCTGACCCTCGGCTTCATGAGAAAGGAAAGGGCAGGCTCCCAGAAGCCCTCTCCTTGCTTCTGAAGATGTAGAACCATCTTGACTGGGGCGGGCTATAATCAGAAATGAAAAAGTAGCCATAAACACTCCACAGTGCTTGAGAAGGTTCAGAAATGTGGCTGTCAGTGGGGGAGCCAGACGACGGTCAGCCAGCGGGAAGGGACAGGGTTAAGAGTTGAGCAGGCAGTACTAAGGCAAGACAGCACTCTCTGGAGTGCTTCCTGAGCTTTAGTTTCCCAGCCTGTAAAACAGGGCTGAAATACCTTTGCTCGAGTCCACAATGATGCCAGTAGTGGCAGTACTTCTCAGTCACGTGTCCATGTCTGCGCGGGTCCTGGCAGAACCAGTTTTGCATAAATGGCATCATTCTATAAACAGACTTCTGCACTTACATCTCCTATTCAATATTGTTTTTGAGATGTATCCATACAGCTGTAAATCGTTAACAGCCCTATAATATTTTCTTTGGCATCTGTGCCACAGTTTATCTATTCTCTTATTTAAAGAGATTGGGGGGCTGCCGGGATATAGCTCAGCGGCACAAGCGCCTGCCTGGCAAGTGCAAGGTCCTGAGGTCGATTCCCGGTACCAAAAAAAAAAAAAAAAAATTTCCTAAAGAGATTGGGGAAGTTTCCAGTTCTTTCCTATTGCAAACCCTACTGCTCTGGATATTCTCACACACATCTTCTCATTTACATGTCCAGCATGTCTCAACAGGATCCTGCACAGAATGAGTCCTAGGTTGTGTTCACCTTCATCTTTGATACTCATTGCCAAATTGTTTTCCACAGTGAGTCTATTAATTTCTATATCCTTACAGCCAACTTTTGGTGTTTTCAGACTATGAAGTGTTTTCCATGGGTGAGAAATAGCATCAACAGGGATTGCGATGCAGATGTTCCATTACTAGAGCTTGTGTTCATCTTGTCTATTTAATCACTCTTCATAGCTCCTTGGATATTTGCACATTTCTCTATTTGTCTTTTTTTTTATTCTGGATAGCAATTCTCTATTTATTACATATATTACAAATACCTTCTCCCAGCTCTTCATTAATCTTTTTTGATGCTGCCATTTGCTTATGAGCAATTTAAATTGTATTCAGATATATCATGTTTCCTTTCTGGTTTATGTTTTTTTTGTGTTTTAAGAATTTTTCTTTTTCTGAGGTACATACTTTGTTTCTAAAAGTTTGGAAGTTTGGATTCCCACATTCTGAATCATTCTGTGAAAGGTGAAAGATGGGGGCCTATTTTCATTTATTTCCTCATATGGACTACCAACTATCCCAGTGCCAATCACCAGGAAAAAATCTCCTGTGTTCACCATACCTCCTGTCTTGTCTATCAGTCTGTCTACACAGGGCCTAACTTCTTGAGTCAGACACCTGATCATGTATTGCTGGTCTTTCTTCCTTTCTAATACAAATATTTGAGGCTATAAGTTCCTGCTAAATATTGCTTTAGCTTCATGCTACAATTTTTGATATGTGGCATTTTTGTTGGTACTCAGTTCTAAATATTATACATAATTTTCATTTGGTTTTGTTTTGACCCATGCATATTGTTTGTTGTTATTGATTTCCAACATTTTCCAGTAGTCATAAAAATAGTTGTATAATGGTACCAGCTGTGTGGGACACGCTGAAACTTCTTTGGTTGCCTAATATGTGGTTAGATTTTTCAATGTTTATTTCATTATTTTCAGTTTCTAGTAATTTGATTTCCTTTGGCTTGATTTGGTTTTCTTTTTATGTCT